CTGGACCGGGGAAAAGATCCTAGAAAATTTGGATTTCTCCAATGATGATGACAGAAGAGGAAAGGGAGCAAAGACGTGACTTCAAGTGAACGTAGAAAAGACAGAGGTGATGATGATACCCAATCAACGCCACCATCACCACCACCACCACCAACAACAACAAGCTGCAATCACCATCAATTGGAGAAACTTAAAGGAAGTAGCCTCTTCCACCTATCTAGGCAGCACTGTTTCAACTACAGGCGACACAGCCATAGATGAGGACCTCAAAGCCAGGATTGGAAAGACAGCAAGACAGGCGTTCATCAACCTGAAACCACTGTGAAGATCTACTGCACTCAGCACAAGGAACAAGATCCCGATTTTCAACACTAACGTCAAGTCAGTGCTTCTGTATGGTTCAGAAACTTGGCGCGTTACGAAAAGCACTTCCAGCAAACTTCAGACACTCATTAACAACTGCCTACGCTGGCTCGATACTGAAGATCAGATGGCTAGAATCATAAAAATAAGTAACAAGGAACTCTGACTGTCTAACAACGAAACAACAAAGAACCTATCACTCAACAATTATGCAGAAGGAAGTGGAGGTGGATTGGGCATGTGCTGAGAAGACGATTTGGGGACATCACGTGCCAGGTACTAGAGTGGAACCCAGATGGAAAACAGCGAGTTAGGCGTCTGAGGCAAGGGTGACATGGAAGAGATGGTGTGAGGAAGAAATGAGAGGTTGTGGGCAGTCATGGAGCCAGGTTCAATAGATTGCAGAGAAGAGAGTGGAATGGAGACGTGCTACTGAAGCCGTATGTTCCACTAGGAACCCAAGGGATAAACAATAATATTATATATATATATATATATATATATATATATATATATATATATATATATCACAGATATCCTTACGGAGGTCTCCCTTTCGTTGCTTGATATCACAGGGATTGATCTTGTCACAGCAGACTTCATAATATATCTGATGTATACAGATGACATTATCATGTTAGGTGAAGTCAGCGATAAAATCCATTGGCTTCTGGTCATTTGAAAATGTATGGGATGCCTTTTTCACCACCCAAATGCAAATAGTTGCTCCAACACTTGATATCATTAACGCTCTGCCTAGCAGTAGGGAATGAAATGGCTAAGTGTACTAACCACTTCATTTACTTGGAAAGTTGGCTTAGCCCTGGTAGGTCAATGATCGGCAAAATTTCTGCATGGATACAAAAGGCTCGTTAAGTTTTTGCCAACATATGCTATTTAGGGCACAACTGTGATAACCAAATATCTATTAAACTTTGAGTTTAATCAGTCAAAGTTCGTCCTGTTATACTATATAGCTGTGACAGGTAATCTTTAAAGGTATAGAATATTAGATGGCTTCATTGCCTTTTTAACACACATCGTGTATCACAGTGTCATCATATGTAGAAGAATATAGACTTCCTGGTTAGCGTTCACCTAACAGTCGATCTCCATGACATAGATGTATCCATACATTTTCATCACTTTAAGCATCATACTGACTCCCATTATTGTAGCATTTCCCCTTGTTCTTTTTTTATGACTATATACTACTTTTGACTGTTTTCTTCTTTATCTCTTTAACTTTCATCTTGTTGTATTGACATGAAGTGTGATAACTTAAACCGTTGTAAACCAGTAGACGGTTCGTTGTTCATACTATCTTGTCTGACTTGCCGTTGACGCAAAATTTCAGAACGTGTTTCATCGGTTTTCAAACTCATTTAAAGTTTTTTATGTATTTGAAAGTCCGGAGAACCCTTTGGTAATTTAGCTAGTATACACCTGATGCGCATCCGCAAAATCAAAATGTATCATTTTCATTCTGTATATCTGTTCATTCTTGCTTCTTTGTTCAAATTTATTAGGGGAAAGAAATGCATTAAAATGTTTGCTTTATTATTATTATTATTTATCCCTTCTCTCTAGTCTTCCCTTTTAACATGGATCCAAGACTGCCCATTATCTTTCATTTCTTCCTCACACTATCACCTCAGTGTCACCGTCGCCTCCGACAATCAACTTCTCGTTCCCCCTCAGGGCCTCCATTCGACGGCCTCACCTGACGCGTGATGTCCTCAAAACATCTTCTCAGTGTATGTCTAATCCAACCCACCTCATCTCCACTCTCTTCCTCCACATATTTGTTGACTGATAGATTCTTGGTTGGTTCGTTGTCAAACAGCCAGAAATCCTCCTTGCTTATTCTTATTATTCTCGCCATCTGATCTGATCTCATCTCATCTGATCTGATCTTCATTGTCAGTATGGAGTGAGTGTATGTGGCAGTTGTTGGTGTGATGTATGTGAGCAGTTTGTTGGAAATGCTTTTCGTAAGGCACTAAGTCTGTGAAGCATCACATGAAGCACTGACTGACTTGGCTGATGAATTAGTGTTGAGAATCCGGATATTGTTCACGCTTTATGCTGAGTGCAGTGGAGTGGAGTGGAGTGGAGCAGATCTCCACACTGATTATTTGAGACTGATGAAGTCTTGTATGCTGTCTTTCCGATCCTGGCTGGCTCTGACATCGTCATCTGTGCCTGTGCCACCTGTAGTTGAAAGGATGCTGTCTGCCTGCCTAGGTATGTATGTATGTATGTATGTAGGCAAGTATGTGTGGGGTGGTAGGTAGGTAGGTGAAATAGACAACTTCGTTTAGATTTCTCCCGTTCATAGTGACTGGTGCTTGTTGTTGCTGTTGGTGGTGTTGGCTGGGTGTCTTTATCACCTCTGTCTTCCCTATGCTCACCTGAAGTCAGTCTTGTCTTCGCCACCATGTCTCTTCTGCAACTTGTTAGTTTTTGCCTGTAGATCTTCGAGTTTATGATACGGGACATTAGACATAAATCATCATCGTTGGCGAAATTCAAATCTTCTGGGATCTTTTCATCGGTCCAGCCAAAGTATGCACATTTTGTCGCTTCTCACAGTTTCTTGCATCATCCAGTTAGGTCCATTCGGCGACTATCGGGAAGATGATTGGTGACAGAAGGTAGCCTTATCTTACTCCTATCTTCACTTCGAAGGCGTCACTGGGCTTTCTATTGTGAATCACTTGGCATGTAGCATCATACAGTATATAGCTGTTGAATGAGGTTGATAAAGGTTTGTGGTACTAAAACAGTAGTGTTGAAGCAGCTGACTGCCAAATTACTTCTCGGTCGACGTTCCGAAGGCCTTTTCAAAATCGATGAAGTTGAGTTGACTACCATTCTCTTCTCTGTTTTGCGATGATGCGTAGAGCGTCGTGGCAATTTGACCCGCGCATGATTTGTTCTTTCTGAAGCCAGCCAGACTATTCCGGTCGTAATTTTGAATCCAGAACACCTTTTAGTCTCTACAGGATGATGCGGCTTATTATTTCGCTTGGGGTGGACGGCGGCATGATTCCGCGCCAGTTCCTGCAAAGGCTTAGGTCTCCCTTCTTCGGAAGTTTGACAAGGTAGCCCTTCTTCCAACCAATGGCTAGGTACCTTTCCTTTCTTCCTTCCTTCCTTATGAACATTCTGCAATAGTGTTGTAAGCATGTCCGCTGCTGTCTCTGCATCTGTTTCCAGTGCTTTTAGAGGAATTTCATATAACCCTGCTGCTTTCCCAGATTTATGGCATTCAGGACTTCTGCTTTTGTTAGAGGGTCTGTGTCCACTGGTAGTTCTGCAGTTGCTGGTAGTATTTCTGAACGACTTGTATGTGGTGGTCTATTCAAGAGTTTTCTGAAGTGGTCAGCCGATTGTTTCCTTTGTTTCTCCTCTTTGGTATCTAGGTTTCCTTCACTGTCTTTCATTGATTTTGTCTGCGTTGATCTCTTCCCTTTCAGATGGTAACCTGGTTATTTGATATAATGTTTTCAGGTCTTTGTCTCTCCTACCTGCAGCCTGTTCTGCTTCACTTGCCAGGGTGTCGTATAAAAGTCTTTAGTCTTTGCGTGCACTCTTCTTCACTTCTCTGTCCAGTGTTCTATACTTTGTACTCAGTTCTTCTTTACGTTGTGCACCCTTGCACTGGTTCATCTTCTGCTTCACCATCTTCCTCTCCCTCCTATATCAGCTTCCATGTATCTGTGGAGATCCATTCCATTCCTTGTCTTGTTTCTTCTCCCTTCCTAATACGGTTGTGCAGGTTTCTTTCCACATGTCTTTCAAAGAGTTGCAGAGCTCGTCCATACAGATTTCTTCAGAGATGTTGCTTGATGTCTCCTATTTTGTTCTGATGGCTGACTTGAAGAAATCCTTTGTAGTTTTGTCCTTCAGTTTCTGTTCTGAGTGTTGAACTTCAACTGTGGTCTATCAGGAACTTCTGTGAAGGTTTTCAACTTGATTTTGAGAGTAGGTTCCTTGCACTAGATAGTGAGTTTTCTGAACCAACATCTGCTCCTCTTCTTAATCCTGTGTCCAGTAGGCTGCGGCTCCACTTTCCTCCGATTGATTTGATTTTTAGTGTGTCCATCTGGTGAAATCAAATCCATGTCGCTTTGTGAATATTCTTGTGTTGGTACACACTGCCTTCATACACCAAACCGTTGAATGCACAGAATTCTGCAAACACTTCTCCGTTCTCATTCATTTCATCGAGTGCTTCTCGACCCATGATGATAAGTTCTCTTCCTGTGTTGTCTGCTCCCAGTTTGGCATTCATATAGCCCATTAGAATTTTGATGTCGCCAACTGGAGTATTGTCTAGTACTAATTGCAATTATCTGTAGAATTCCTCTTTCTTCTCTTTATCTGCATTAATTGTTGGTGCGTAGCATTGTACGATTGTGACTTTCTTTCCTTTTGATTTGAATCTTGTTGTCATGATCCTAGAGGAGACTGGTTCCCACTGCATGAGAGCCTTCATGATAGCCACTCCGAAACTCAGTGTGCTCGTGGTTGTCGGCTGTATAATCAGCCAATAAATTTTCTGTATGTCAATGACACATTGAAGTCTAACCAATGAAATGCAAATTAGGATCACCTGATGCCTAATCGATATTTCTCCTTAGTTTATCTGCTTAATTGAATTATTAAGGTTGATGTAGGCTTTCTTGATTAGAGAATAAAGGGGATACTATTGTGATTTTATTTACCTATGCTTGTATAAATCATGAAATGGTGTTTACAACTAGTACATCCTCATATGGAGTTAATGAATCAACATCAAGTTTAACAGAAATTAGAGCGTTGAATCAAAATATTAACTATCCAACACAAAGAGAATTTCTAAAATATGTAGATGATTTTAATAAACATCAACTAAGTAGAACAACATCTAAGCTGAAGAGAAGAGAAACATCCCATTACTTACAAGTTAATAAGCTACCAGATAATCCTTTCTTATTTATAAAAAATGAATGTATTGACCGACTTAAAGATCTTAATCTATCTCAAGATAAGGAAGATAAAGATAGACTTATGAAAGCTAAATATTCTGGTGAAAAATTACCCTTTTCTATGAGACAAAGGTATATGGCAGCACAAAATGTTCATGAATTAATTCTTGAAGAGAATTTCGATGAATTCAATAAATATGGGGTATTATTTGGTCCAAAGAATTTGATAGCATATCAAACCATCTCCAATGTAATCCCTTTAACAACAAGATCAAAATTACCTAAAAAATCAATAAAAGATCTAAATCCAGGCCCAATAATTACAAAAGGTAATATAGATAGTAAAATAATATGTAAACAAATAACAGATAATGATGTTTTTGATACAACAACTGATACTCTATATCATTTTGTTCAAAATCGTCGAAAAATTTGTCTATTAGAATTAATGAATCGTGTAAAACACGAAGAAGTTAAACGTTTAGATAAAATAATAAAAATTGAATATAACTTTATAAAAAAACAAGAAAAAGATCATTTATATCATCATAAAGAGTATGATAGATATTTAAAGACAATATGTCAACATACTACTGAAGCGATATGTTTAGCTGAAGGTGAAGCGCGTAAAAAAATTCAAATTGATGATGATATAAAACAAACACGTTATAAACTGGCTCATTTGAATGCTGAATACATTAAATTAGAAGAGGAATACTTACGTTTATGTGTATATCGAGATTTTCTTAATAATATGGCGAGAACATTTAAAGAACATCATGTGAAGAATTTACTAACCTTTACTGATGATACTAATGAATCCTTGAACACTCATGACAAGTTAACTGACAGAATGAAAGATGATATCATTGATGAAACTGTAACATCAATTGTTACTACCAGTACTACTACTACTATTGACATTAGTAAAAAACTACACAAAACACTAACATCTTCACTGATAAATGAAAATGATAAAGAAAAAATGATTATTTCTGATGAATTTATGTTTGAAAATATATTTACTAGTCCAAAAGATCTAGTTAATCGTTTGTCCGAATTAGATAGTACAAATTTGACCTTAATTGAAAATGTTCAAGAACAAGATGAAGTATATGAAAGTGTACGACGTAAAATAACTAAATTGAAGCAAATTTTAACCCAAGAGAAAATTCAAGTTGATAATCATATTGAACGTGAAAAAAATCATCTACAAATAATACAACAAAATATTGAACAACTTAGTATATCAAAGAATACTTTAAATGAATACCTTTTACTGGATAAATATGCTAATGTGTTTTGTTTAAACAATATAGAATCATTTCAAGATATTGAATTCAGTCAAACAATACCGATAAGTAAATCTACATCTGAATCTAAAGTAAAAGATACTCAGTCTATATGTAGTCAACACAAAGATAAACGTGAATTGAAGCCAACTATTGTATTACTGTTGAATATATTACAGACACAAGTACAGAAAGTTTATACATCAGTTTATGGGAATAATAATAGTGGAGCAAAATTGGACATATTAGTTATGTTAAGTCGTTTAGAGACAACAATAGATGAACTTAGTGAAATGCTTAATATTTATCCAAGAAATGTAATACTTAAAGCTAAAAAAGCTGTTGAACAGCGTACACGCTTTATTCTACGTCAGCGACAGAAAGAAGAATCTCAAATAGCTTATGAAAAACGTGTTGAAAAAGTTATGAATAAAGCCCATGAGAAACCACGTTGGCGATTTGGCAGAAAAATTATGGAAAGATCGAAACCTTTAAATATCGTGTATAAAACTGATCTAAATATAGAGTCATCTTACTCGAAAGAGGAAAATAAAAGTTTATTTCAATGAGAAAGCAAAATACTGAAGTCATTTTTGTTAATGCATAAGTCTCAAGCTATTTCTCTGTAATACAAAATGACAAAGCTTATATTTTCGCGTATATTTTTACCTGGTTAGCTTAAAGTGTGGAAAATCAAGTACTCAATTATAAGGAACAAGTTGAAATTAGCTTAAAACAGCGATTTGAGTAGGAAAGTATCTATTTTCAACTTGCTCTTCATAAACAGTTCTTTACTGTCTGGCAACTCGACATGTGAAGAAGCCAGTCGCACAGCAGTTCCAGGCAAGCTAACTAACACGTAACCCACTGTTGGGTATACCAGAGATATACCAGACGATTTGCTGGATCTATTACATAGTAACCCCGCCAAAGGCCTGCAGCCGTTCCACAATACTCAGAAGCGAGCATGAAATGGACTGGTTTACAACCGCTGGTCAAACATACATTGGATATTGAACATCGGATACACTAAGAAATGACGTTTAAAGTCTGAAAAATTGGCATTTTGAACTAGTGCTGAAAAAATGCACTCATATACAAGGGTTAGTGGTACTGTCTGACTGTTGACACCTTGGCAGATGGCGTGGTATTTGAACTCATAACCTATAGAATGACGATCAACTGCTGACTCTAATGAATCAAGACTTTATCTGGTGGTGATGAAAGATTATCGGTCTCATTTTTCCAAAGGATGGCAACTAATCAAGGCAATTACGACAGTATTCAAGAGGTAAAATTGAAAAATTTCACTCTTATAATAGGATGATGACACAAATAAATTTCAAACGTTTGAACAACGTCTCACATAATTGATAGTCTTTATGATGAAAATTAACAAGAAAAGAGAATGAAAGATATCCAATGTCTGTTTAACGAGCTGGTGTAAACCAGTTAATTTCTTCGTGCTCATTTTTAGGTCTTGCGGAACTGTTTCCCGTCATTGACGGATTCCAATGTAGATCCAGAGAATCGTCTTTTATATCTCTGGTACACCCAATAGGTGGTTAGATGCTGGTCACTTTGCCTGGGACTGTGGTGCAGCTGAGTTCTTCAGACTTCAAGTTTCCAGACAGTTGTCCAGACTGGTCGTTAGAAAGAGTTGGGGATAGTGAAGAGGTAAACATGGAAGACAAGTGTGTATGAGTAGAAGACAACAAAAAGTGATATAATGCAGTAACCCGCTTCCACCCAAGTAAAACGAGAGGGTTGCACAGGCATACAGAACTTAGGTGAGCGAAGTTGATTCATACCTAGTAAGGAGGATGAAAACGACTTAAGTGATTAGAGTAGGAGGAAAATTGGCGTGCTGGTAGAAGTGGTGGAATGGCATAACAGCAGTTGGTTTTTCGGTTCACTTTGCATTCCGACTAGTCACCACTTGATTGCCTGGCCTGTTCTTGAAAATGTCGATAGATGGAGAGGAGTCTGCCTCTCCACGCAATGCATCCCAGCACCGCATGGGTTGATCTACCCCCGGAAACTATTTTGCTGCCCTGGCGTATGCAGACGATGTTGTCCCGCTGGGCTAAGACGCTGGGAAGACGTAAGGTCTTCTGAACGTCTCGAACAGAAATGAATATAGTTCTAGCTTGAGAAGATGTTTCAGAACAGACCTGCCGTTAATCTCACTTTAAGGGCAGATAGTATCAGCTTACTCGCTTGAGGAGTTGCGTCAGCCTGAACAGGTTGGTTATTGACGAAATCCCAGCTCCGATTCAGAAAGCTCGTTTGGCGTCCACTAATTTACACTATCTTTTTCGCCGACTGAAAAGATGTCAAACTGCCTGTTGGGCGAGTACATTTCACTCTAGTTCCTTCTGTCTTATTGTTCGTCTGTGGGAAGTGGGTCATATAGGTTTTCGAACGTGGACGCCGTCTTCAAGTTATTTCTCTTGTGTACCGGAATCATCCTATTGCTAGTATTGAGGTTAGGCTGGGACTAATGGGTCAAATAGGCACGTCGGTCAGTATACCTATGAACCTTCAGTGACTGAGGTAACTGACATTTTCTGAGGATCCCAAGCCACTTCCAACCTCTAACTGCAGTTATGGCTCGGATAAATTTTGTCTAAGGGTAGACTCTGGGAGAACGAGTTAAGACGCGCGACCAACTCATGAAGTCTCTGAGTATTAGTCTGACCTCTGTGGAAAGGTACAGACTGTCCTGTAGAGGTCCTCAAGATAACGGGAACCAACAATTGAAGAAATTTGGTCTAGGGACAAACAATCAATCACAGTGGAACAAACGTATATTCACTTTTTAACTTCGAAGGTTTGAAAGTTTTCAATAACTTGTATACTCGGATTCTTCGTCCGTTCATATGCTTTTGCAATCTGATTACTATCCACCTAGTAGATCTAACTTGGATCGTCACGCGACATTCCTATCAGTGATCAGACAACACATCAGGATAGCTACACATTGTCGTCATAGTTTAGTAGGGTTAGATAATTTCGGTTGAAGATTGTGAATCATTCAGCGAGTGTTTGAACGTTCCAATAGCATTGAAGGGTGGGCGGGTGACAAAAGTGCGGTCTTGAAGGGCGTCTATTCCTTAAGGAGTTTGAATGGTATAACATTCAGCATATTTCTACAACTCACAGAATCACATATAAATGGGGAACTGATGCAACAAACAAGAAAGGAGCTACGAAGGATAACAGCAGGCCTAGGCCTAAATAAAGGACAATAAACCGGTACGGGAGGATATTAATAACAGCATTTTTAGGTCAGTCAAACAAGATAGTTGCTGGAATTAAATGATCAAATATCCTAAAACACCTTTCTGACATCGTCTCGCGGGATCGAAATGAGGTTCTCAAATGGAATCAGTCTAAACGAATCGGAAAGCGAAGACGTCACGACAGGATAAGAGGAGTAGGCTAAGACGATGACCTTTCACAATCTTCTCATTAACATTACACTCTTAATATTATTACTTCTCCTACTTTCACTTATTTTCCACTTAAGCACCATCACAAATGAGGAAAATGTAGGCTGCATGAAACTAACGTCATATAAGCAAGGGCAGTTGATCTTATCTTCTGGTGAGTTATCACTGCCCCCCAGTCATGTACGCTAGGTTATTAAATACTACGTAATGTGCAGGGTAGATGAAACAATAAATAAGTTGATTAGACAGTTAATAATTCTTACCCATACAGACGTTGAAGTGTTTTATACTTTCTTCTAAGAAAACATTAACACCTGAAAGTATTAGACTAACGAAAACCGAAAACTTCAGCAAAGCGTACGATAAAAAGCATGTCTGACGTGATGCAGAAATTTTGCGTACGTAAGCAAGTTGAACTACAGCAGACTACAGTTAGGAAAGCACGGCGTCAACATTAAGGCCGAACGTATCTTCTAATTGTATTCCAATGCACGTTCAACCACTCTTGCCGTAAGTGGACTGCTGTTACCACAGTTTACATCACATTATTAAAAGATCAAGGTCATTTGTAGTACTAACATGCCTCTAGCTCCAGACATCGTGATAGCCACTACCAGTAGTAGTAGCACAGAATTCTGTGTGAACAACATTGACGATGCGATTAAAACCCTAGATGAAAGTGTCAGCTGCGGGACAGACGAGATGTTGTCATGAATTTACAGAGAGGCTGGTACGGATATGGCAGTTCTACCATTCAAACTATTTACCCTCTCATTAGATTTTGGGACATATCCTGATAAACGGAAAACTACTCATATGCCACCAAAAAATAAGTCAGGAGCAAAGACCAGGGTTAGCAATTACAGACCAATTAATATAATTTCAGTCATCTCGAGGATTCAAGAAAAGGTGATTAAAAATCAAATCTTTGATTGCCTGCTGGAATCTAACCATATCTACTAGTCACAGTATGGCCTTCGGAAAAAAGATCTTGCACCACAAATCTGTTCGACTTTCTTGACGAGGCCACCAGCGAAAGGGATCAGAAAAAGCTAGTGATAATACTTTACTTCGACAGAGTCCCAAACAACTTGCTTATCAGTAGGCTAAAGTCCCTCGGGATCTGTAACCCACACTTAGACCGGCAAAAATCCTTTCTGCGTAGCCGTTATCAAATAGCAAAAGTTGGTTCAACTATCTCAAAGTCTAGACCAATAAGAAGTGGAGTTGTCCAGGGCAGCGTCCTAGGTGCACTCCTCTTCATAACACATATCAATAGCGTATGTCAGTGTTTCAAGGTACGCAAGCCATTCTCATATGCAGGTGACCTAAAAGTACTATGCACATACCTTAGAAGTGATTTAGCCTCGACTGTCAGTTCTATGCAAGAGGAACTAAGATACGTAAGCACATGGTGCAACACCTAGAGACTCAAATTTAGCACAGGAAAATGTGGCTGGATGTGCATAGGTGACTATACACTTGAACTAAACTTAATGATAGCCAAGAATTCACTCCTAAAACTGAAGTCTATACAAGACTTACGGCTGCGATATTCTCACAACCTAACCTTTTCTGGGCACGTACCCGCACAGAGGTCGAAATCACGCAGAGTGGTGGGTTTCTTATTGCGGAACTCCTATGGTACCGAACCTAAAACATGTGTCCGACCACCGCTCGAATATTGTTCATTTATCTAAGGCAGTATACGGGTCACGGATAGACTGAAAGTCGAAGGAGTGCAGAGTTATTTTACAGTGAGAATACTTAGTCCTGACTCAAAAACGCTACAGTGGCGAGGAAGATGTTGCACCAACCTGCCATCCCCTGGCTCACACACACTTGAAACAATAAAGGATAGTATTAGTTGCAACCCATGAATATCTTATTCCCCGAATATGTCCCCGAAATTAAATTCTACCGCATGTTTCTCATCACTGCAGTTCAACCTAATTTACTAGAACTAGCTTTTCGAAAACGAGTTTAAGTACTACTGCTTATCCGATTCCTCGACCTTCTGCTTGATTAACGTTTGTTTCGTACGCGACAAAATGAGTAAGATCACCATGTCGTCCATTGTACCCAACCCCTGCCGAATATTTACCACCGAAGCTTGGTGCAATTCAAATACTCCTGACAATGATGTCTCTGTCAACAATCATACTTTGTTTAGAGGAGATAAATATAATGATA